CAACATATAGTAAATAAACTCTTCAATATAACACTTTACCCTTTGGGATGGGGAGTTAGAAGGGGTTGGGGAGGGAGAGACAGATGGGAAGAAGGATAGGGGAAGGTTAGTAGTGTGGCCAGAGGACACAGGTGAGAAGGAAAAAGAGAATAATAGGAAAATAAAGAAGAACTCCGAATGAGGACCAAAAAGGGAAGATGAACAATGTGGGAGAGCAAGAGAGTGAATGTAAGAGAGAGAGAGAGAAAGGAAAGAGAAAGAAGAAAAGAAAAAAAAGAAAAACAAATATGCAAAGAGTAGGAAAAAAAATTAAAGATAAGAGGAGCAAAAGAAAAGAAAAGAGAAAAAAAAACTAATAATACTAATTTTGGGAATAAAAAATAACAGTGAAAATGAAGGGCCTCTTTCAGGGTATGTCTCTGCTGTCACAATAGACAACGTGGGTTGCAGATATAAGTCAATGAGTCTCAGCAAGCTAGTCTCAGACCCTTGAGATTCAGGCAGATTTCTGGCTGCAAATCCCAAGTTGAGCTCCTTGTCCTCCCATAGGATTGAACTGTGCAGAGTTGTATTGCAGGTTCCAGTTGCCCCTCCCCTGAAGATAGTCCCAGTCCTGAGGGGAGGTGAAGATGACTCCAACTTACCCAGTACAGTGGTCTGGTGGTCCGGTGTCCTCTGGGTGTTTGTAGCGTGGAACCAGGTGGCTCTACAAAGAAGAAGCCAGAGGAGCGGGGGTGGGGGGGGGCAGGGGAGGTTGTCCAGTGGATTGCTGCCAATTCGGCGTGTTCCGCGCAGCTCGAGACCTTGGTTCAGCATCCGCAGACCTGCCTGTCTGCAGCAGGCTGATTTGGTGTGTTCCACGCGACGTGACCTTGGTACGGGGTCCCGCAATTGAATTTCTTTAATCTTTTAAAATCCCAGGCATTTACAATAGCTGTACAGTTGTATAAATATAATACAGCTCCAGTAATTTGGCCTTCAAAAACCTGGAGGAGAAAGAGAGTAGAGAACGTGGAAAAGCCAGTCCACTCCCCAGGGGGGAGTGTCAGGAAATGAAGTGCAAAGAGTAGCCCAAGGGTGACAGCCTTCAAAACAGCCACCCTTTTTTCTGGTGGGTTTTTGCAGAGGGTATGCATATTTTTATATATATATATATGTATGTTTGTATTTTAATTAGAAAGGAAATAGGATCAGATTTCTGTGTTTGGAGACCCTCTGCATACAAAATGGAAGAGATATTTGAGGATGACAAAAGTGAAGACAGTGTGACAGACCAAAAAATCATTGTTTAGTCAAGAAGATGGGGCTGGGGATTTAGCTCAGCGGCACCACGCCTGCTTCGCAGTGCAAGGTCCTGAGTTCAATCCCTGGTACCAGAAAAAAAGTAATGGAAGTTTGGTCTGTAGTGGCAGAAATTGACACAGAGGAAGAAGGATATATTTGAGAGATCGTTCAGAGGTGTACAACCGATTTGGGAGGAATAATATAGCGGCAAGGATGGCTCTTTACTTTCCGGTTTAAGCAACCAGATGACCAGTTTTGTTTTGTTTTTTTTTGGTACCGGGGACCGAACTCAGGACCTTGTGCTTGTGATGCGGGTGGCGGAACTACTGAGTTACAAGTTATTCACTTCATTGATGGAATTGAGATCCTTGTGGTGCAGGGCTGAGTCTCCCATTTTTATAGCCTGTTGGCTGGAAGGAGGGCACTGTCAGGTCCTTTGCCCATTTCCCCTTTGTCTTCAAACAAGCATCAGCATGCTGAAGGCACCTTGTTTTTTGTGTTCCTAACTACAGGCTGATGAAAGCACTCGTAGAGGGTTAGATTAGGCCCACCTGGTAATCTTCCTTCTGCTATATAGTGTAGCATAGTTGTGGGGTAGGTAACACCAGCAGTTGGGTCATGCAGGGGACGTTTGAAAATTCAGCCAGTGGCAGTGGGTTTCATTTCAGATTACAGCAAGACAGATTTGAGGTAGAATGTGTGTATATGTCTGAAAATGTGTATTGGAATTGTTACAAATTACAGAAAGAAGGAGCTTGCTTAGGGAGAAGAGCATATAGAGCCGAGAGGCCTTAGCCCAGAGCCTTAGGGAGCTTTGTAAGTTAGTGCTGGAGGATGGAAGCCACTGAGAAAGAAATGGAACACACCTGCTATAAATGTGGGCGGGAAACCAAACGTGTGACCTCATGAAAACCAAGAGAATTTTCTTGTTTTTCGTTGGGTTTTTTTTTTTTTCCAGTACTGGGAATTGAGCCCAAAGCCTCATGCATGCTAGGCAACACTGCCACTGAACCTGAGGAGTTTTGAAGTGTATAAAGTAGCCAGTGATGGCAACAGCTTCTGTGGTCTGGGGCAGAGGGAGAATTGGTAGGCACCCTTACTGTATTGCTCTCCCATTTAACACCATTCTGCTGTAGAGCAGAACACACATGTTCATACAGAGCCAGGAGTTTTATAACCACAGTCTTTTCTTTTCTTTTGTTTTTCAGTACCAAGGATCGAACTCAGGATCTTGCACTTGTGCGGCAGGGCGCTGTGCCTCTGAGCTAAATCCTTGGTCCTACCATGGTATTTTCTAGGTTATAGCTTTCCACTCCAGAGGAAAGAGGCTAAGGAGACTGAAAATGAGTGGAGACATCTTCCTGACTAATCCCTTCTTAGGATACTCTGGTGAACAGAGTGGGAGTCTCTGGAATTGCCACTTTCTCCAGGACAGATTCTGAAAATCTGAAATTGAATATGTTCTAAAACCTGAAACATCTTTAGCAATTCAGAAATTTCAGAATTAGAGGATTTTTGAATTTTGAATTGGGGATGCTCAACTGATAAAGTCTACGTAGATGTTCCAAAACCCAAAAACATCCAAAATCTAATATGCTGCCTTTTTTTTTTTCTTTTGGCAGTATTGGAGATTGAACCTGGGCCCTCAGCACTGAGCTACATCCCAGCCCTTTTATTTTGAGACAGTCTCACTAAGTTCCCAGGCTGGGCTGGAACTTGTGGTCCTCCTGTCTCAAAGTGCTGGGGTTACAGGCATGCACCACTGTGGTTCTATTTATTTTATTTATTTATTTATTTATTTTTGGTACCAGGGATCAAACTTGGGTCCTTGTGCTTGTGAGGCAGGCGGTGGAACCACTGAGCTAAATCCCCGGCCCCTCACTGTGCTTCTACTCTCAAACATTTTGGATAAGAAATACTGAACTTATAATAATACATAGCACTAAATATGGGCCAGACATCGTTCTAAGTACATTACCTTTATTAACCCATTAACAGCAGCTGTATCTCAGAAAAAGCAGCAGAGGAGTTGAGGTTAAAGTACACTACTTGGTGTCCATTATTATTCTCTATTAGAGAATAGTTTTGGAATAGTTCAGGGCCGGGGATGTAACTAGTTCAATTCCCAGTACCAATAAAAAAGAAATACCGACTAGTTCAATTTTGTATTGCTACAGTGTGTTCTATAAGGAACTGAGAAATTTTTTTCTGATAGTGATTATAATAAATGAGGTTTAGATAAAGGCTAAATCTCTTTTCAAAGAAAATTAATGTGCTTAAAAAATAAAGGGTGATGGGAAGCTTGTAGTATAAAAGTGAATGAATGTGCTTGTATGGTGGTGTATTGAAATCTGTAACAAAAAGAGATTCCCCAGGTACATGGATTCAGAAATAAGATTGGCTTTTAACCTCACAGCAAATCCATTTCCTGTCAACCCATTAACCTCGAAATTTCCAACTTACTCATTCTTTTGGACTTCTTCATACTATTTTGTTGGGTTTTACTTCATTATTTGATCTCATTTTAAAGTAGCCAGTGTAGGCTGTGCACTGTACAACTTTAAGGAATTTGGTTTACTTCGAGTCGCACAGTTTGGCAACCCTGGAATCTATGTTCAGACACTTTAGTGAATCTAAGAATAATGCAAACAGACTACACTCTGAAGGTTAATGTGATGAATGACTTGCATTTGCATAATTTTCTTTGCTACTTGCCTCCTGGGAGCAGACCCCAATGGTAAACTGTGTTTTATTGCTTTTGCAGGCGAGGAATTGCCTTGGCCTCCTTGGGGGGCCCAATCTATGCCATTGGAGGGTTGGATGACAACACTTGCTTCAATGACGTCGAGAGATATGACATCGAATCTGACCAGTGGAGTGTGGTGGCCCCGATGAACACTCCCCGTGGAGGCGTTGGCTCTGTGGCTCTCGTGGTGAGTGACTAGCCAGCCTGCCCACGTCTGCTGTCAAGTGTTGCTCATCTCACTGCTTGCGCATCTAGCTGCTGCTGCTCCACTGACCAGGTGTATCGTTAGCACCATGTATGGAGCAGTTCAGATTCTAATGCTGTGTGCTTTGCTTTTCTTCATTCAGAGCCATGTTTATGCAGTAGGTGGCAATGATGGAGTGGCTTCTTTGTCTAGTGTGGAGAGATATGATCCACATCTGGATAAGTGGATAGAAGTTAAAGAAATGGGTCAACGACGAGCTGGCAATGGAGTCAGTGAGCTTCATGGCTGCTTATATGTTGTTGGTGAGTGGACAGTGTTTAGTTTAATATATCAGGATCTACACTGACAAGTATAGAACAGCACAACACCAAAAACTGTATTAGTGTATTACATTTAACCTTTAGTGCAATCAGTCCTGAGATAATGCTTTTGAAATATTTTTTTTTCTCTTTTTCCATTCTCAGTACTCAGAACCCAGGAAGCATTGACCTACAGTTGTAGCCCTTTTTAAAAATATTAAGGCAGGCTCTCACTAAGGTTCCCAGTCTGGCTTCAAACTTGTGATCCTCCTGTGTCAGCCTCCTGAGCTGCTGGGATTACAGATGTGCACCATTGTGCCCAGTTGGTACTTTTGAATTCTTGAAGTTAACATTCATGCTTTTTTTTTGTCAACTCTTTGTCCCATATTTAAATCCTGCCTCAGTGTTTTTCTAAGAATAGCAAATATGTCTAATGCACAAGATTGCATTTAAATGAAACATGTATTTGTTAAGGTAAACTGAATGTTTTTGCTGAAATAGCTCTCAAAAGGTCTAAAACTGATTTTTTCCCACTTCATTCCAAAGAAAATTGTGTTGAAAACTGTTAGCTTTATCCTTGCTGGAGTACAGTATCTAACACTCACAACTTAGAGGAGGAACAGTTTAGTTCGGCTCAGTTTCAGGGGATTCAGTACATGTTCTGCAGGCTCTAATGCAGAAACTTGGTAGAAGGCCCTGGTGGAACAAAGCTGCTTAGGTCACGGAGGGAATGGCACCAGAGAGGAAAGGGCCAAGGACCAGATATAGAACCCAAGGTTCTATATCATGACCCAGCCATACAAATCTAGAAGTGTGCTGTACTAATGCCTCAGCTCCCAACCCAATCAAGTTGATACAGTTAGGCCTAACCACCTCAAAAACTTTACGTGAGCTAGTAGCTCTTTTATATGAATAAAGGCTATGCCAGTTTTCATATTGCTTTTAGACTTAGTGACATGCTGAGTTGGAAGGAACTTTAAGCAGTGCTTTCTCCAATTCTCATATACATGTGAATGACCTGGAAATATCCTGCCAAGGAGGGGTCCAGACTCTGTTTTTAACAGGTCCCAGAGGAGAGCATGCTCTTTCGGGTCCACTCACCATAATTCCAGTAGCAAAGCTTCAAATAATTATGAGATGGGAATAAGAATGCCTGTCTTTTAGGGTTTTTTTGCTTTGTTTTGTTTTTTTGAGACAAGGTCTTACTATGTAGTTCAGGCCGGCCTTGAACTCAGCTCTGCAGTTGTGCTGGCCTTCAACTCTCGGTAGTCTTCTTACCTCAGCCTCCCAAGTGTTGGGACATGGGTGTGTGTCACCATCCCCAGCCTTTTGAAATTATTTTAAGAATTAAAGACAAAATATGTTAAGCATCTTTTTTTTTTTTTTTTTGCTATGTTAAGCATTTTAAACTGTGTTTAGCACTTTGTAGTTAACCAACAAATGAGTCACAGTTTTGTGATTAGTAACAGACATAAAAAATAACAACTCAGGTTGAACATTGAAAAACCTTCTTGGCTATTCAAATCCTGTTTAAAACCAGCACAACTTATTTGAATAAGAAAAATATGAAGGGCATACACATGTCTGACAGTCTGATGATACTCTGTTTTATTTCTTCCTCTGTCTTAAATTCAGTTTTGTTTTGTTTTTTGCTAGGGATTGAACCCATGGGTATGTGGTCTAGTACATGTTGGAGATGTCCTCTCTGGCCCTGCCTTGAATTTTTTTTTTTTTTTAAACAGGGTCTTGGTATGCAGTTCAAGCTGGCCTTGAACTCACTATGTACTCCAAGCTAGCTTCGAACTCAGCAATCCACCTGGCGCAGCTTCCCAAGTGCTGGTATTACAGGTGTGCGCCAACACACCTGGATCTGGAATTCTTTATTATTATAAATTTATACACGTCATCTAGAAAAGTGATATGACATCAGTGAGAAAGGCTATAAAAATTAACTGGCATGGGCCGGGGATTTAGCTCAGTGGTTTTGCCGCCTGCTGCGCAAGCGCTAGGACCCGAGTTCTATCCCCAGCACCAAAAAAAAAAAAAAAAAATTAACTGGCTTGGGGTCGGGGATTTATTTAGCTCAGTGGTTCTGCTGCCAGGTGACTTGTAAGCACAGGGTCCTGAGTTCGATCCCCAGTACCAAAAAAAAAAATTTAACTGGTTCAATCCCCAGCACTAGGAGGAGAAAAGCTACTGAAAACTTAATCTTCTATACTAACATGAACAATAACTACATTCTTTATTATATTTAAAAAATGTTTCATGTCATAGTGTGGTGAGCTGGGCGTGGTGGCGCATGCCTGTAATACCAGCCCTCAGCAGGCGAAAGTAGGAGGATCATGAGCTCAAGGCCAGTCTGGGCAACATAGCAAGTTGAAGCCTGGCATAGACTATAAATAGCAAGATCTTGTCTCACAAACCAAAACAAAAAACAAAACATAGTTGAGGTGATACTACAGTATACATTTGTCAAAATTCGTCAGATTAAGCATATAAAATTGATAAACTTTATTTCAGTTCAGTTGATTAAATAAAATTAAACCCATAAGAGAAGTTTCACATTTGTTTGTTTTACTGCTCCCTGTTTAAGAAACTGATCATAATATCAGCACTTCATTTTCTCAGGAGAGTAGGCTGAGTCACCAGAGACAGCCATTATTCATTTAGACATGGAAGAAGCCTGAAAAGGGAGGGCACTACTAGAATGAGAGCCTACATTTAGCCCTCAGGAATATATTAAATGCATTGTTAGAATGTGCTACACAAAAGAATACATGGGGAAAAGATGAGATTTTGGCAAAACTACATAAAATTTCCATCAGAGCCTCCCATCTCTAGTTATGCTAGTAATAACAGTGTTAGGGGAAGAACTGGAAAACTTAATTTATATTCCCTTCTTAAACCTTACTGTTTAAAAATGTAACACATGGAGGGCCAGGGATTTAGCTCAGTGGTTTCACCGCCTGTTGCACAAGCACAAGGACCCGAGTTCAATCTCCGGTACCAAAAAAACAAAAACAAAAACGTAACACATGGAGAAAAAAAACAGTCCTATTTGTTCCTGGGAGGCTAAGGACAAATTGTATGAATGACTGCTTTTTTTCCTTTTTTCTAAAGTATCTGCTTAGATATAGAGACTTCACATTTTCCCACTGAAAGATTTTTCTTTTTTTGGTACCAGGGATCGAATTCGGGTCCTTGCGCTTGCACAGCAGGCCGCGAAACCACTGAACCAAATCCCTGGCCCCCCACTGTAAGATTTTTAATCCTAGCATTGAGGTAAAATACCAATTAAATTATCTTAAGTTAAATTGTAGAAAAGATATAATAGGTGGTGATAACAGTAGAATGGTTTTGTGATGAACCTTTTGTTTTCTTCTAATTTTCTCTAAACCATTCTGTAATGGTTTTAAAAGATTGAGTTTAGAAGCTACTGAATGGAGATTTTGTGGTTCATTTTTATGCAGTGTTACGCTATTTTAAAATTTCTTTCTCTAGGTGGTTTTGATGACAACTCCCCTCTGAGTTCAGTTGAGCGGTATGACCCTCGAAGCAACAAGTGGGATTATGTGGCCGCACTCACCACTCCCAGGGGCGGGGTGGGGATCGCCACTGTGATGGGCAAAATCTTCGCAGTTGGAGGTCACAATGGCAACGCATACTTAAACACAGTAGAAGCCTTTGATCCCATGCTGAATAGGTGATTGGCACTTTATTTCTATGCTTCATTGGTACATTCCAGTAGCAGATTACTAGAGAGTGAGAGAGAAGAGCAGCCCTCCCTTCACGGGACAGGGTGTGTTCCAGACCACCCCCACTGGATGCCTGAATGCACAGATAGCACCAGGCTTCATAGATACCACAATAAAGCTTAACTCATAAATTAGGCACAGAAAGAGATTAAATGACCCAACTAGTAATAGAGCAATTATAACAGTACTGTATACTATAATGAAACTGCCAGCATCACTATCTTTGCACTTTGGGACCATTATTAAGTAAAGTAAGGGTTACTTGAACACATCAATGCAGTAGCACCACAGCCAGTGTGGTAGCTGAGATGGTCACCAAGGAATTAATGAGGTAGCATTGTCGCCAGCCTGTATATGCTAGACAAAGGGCAGGTTCGTGTCCCAGGCAGCACAGAGATTTCATCACCCTACTCAGAACAGAATGCAATTTAAAACTTATAAATTGTTTATTTCTGGGATTTTCCATTTAATATTTTTGGGCTAAGGCTGACTACAGGTAAGTGAAACTACGAAAAGCAAAACAAGGGATACTTTCCTGGAGTTGTAATTAATACAAATTTAGGAATACTGTGCTTTATCACCCTTTGGAAGCTTGCAGTCTTTCAAAACCAGTTCCATCCTAGGGGGTCTTTATCTGTGACTGGTATTAATTTTGAGTACATGATATTTGGTTTTAAGCAAATGCTTTGTCCTCTGTCTTTCCAGGTGGGAGCTTGTGGGCTCTGTGTCTCACTGCAGAGCTGGAGCAGGCGTCGCCGTGTGTGCCTGTCTAACGAGCCAGATTCGAGACGTAGGCCATGGGTCCAACAATGTGGTTGACTGCATGTGACTGGAGTGCCAGCCACCAGGGACTCTGTCACATCTGATGGGCAAGAAAGGCAGCCAGGATTTTGATACGACCCCCTTTGAATTTTAACAACAACCAGAGACTTATTTAAATGTTAACTGTAGTATTGTGGCTAAGTACAACTTTTTGAATGATAGCTGAAGAATTTTTAGTCATACTGTTAAATTTGGTACTTTCTGCTTTAGTAAATAATGGAGTGGGGTAGAAAGACAGTTTAACTTGAAACCATACCTACGCTGGAAAAAATGTTTAAAGTAGTGCCAAAACCTTGAATTCTCTGTTTATTTGTATTAATCCAAATGAAATTTGTTGAGTTTTACTTTTCCTTTGCCTATTGGCTTGGGTACTGGATTCTTCCAGAGCAGAGATTAGAACCTATGTGTTGACACACAAGAGACCTACTCCTCTTGAAAATAATTTCTTTTTTTTTTTGTATTAAATTCTTTTATTGGTACATTGTAGGTATACAGCACAATTATATTTTTTAAAATAATTTCTACTTGGTGCTGCTGAAGTTATGTCTTGCTTTTTTTCTAGGTGTTGATTTCACTTTCTTGGGTATCTACAGAAGTACTGTTTTGTCTGAGTGCCAGTTGGCTGCATTCTTGGAAGCTGGTACAGGCCTTGATTTCAGTTGGAATTGCTAGGACACCAAAAGACTTGGCTGTGCTAATTATGTCTGAACAAATCTACCGTTTTGTTTTTGTTTTATTTTTCCTATCTCATGCAAAAAATGAACCAGAGGAAATGCTAGAGAAGGCTTTAGAGCGGCTGTCATCCCAGTGCCCAGCTCAGAGACTGAGAGGGTGCCAATTACATGTTGCCCTACCGAGGGAAATCTGAACCTATCTTTCTTTACCCTTTGTCTTTGACTTATTTGATTTTTGAATCCAGGATTTATTACCTTCTTATTTTGTTATTTTCCACCATCCTGGTTTTTCTAACTGTACAGATCTACATTTATTTGTTATCAGAAAGTGAATGCATTTTTATCAAAACTCTTTATTGACTAGTTTACTGATTAGTTCAACTCCATCATTAACTAATGAAACGTGTTGGTAAAGACAGAGGAAGATGGAAATTGTTCTTTTTTCTCATTATGTTTAATACCCTCCAGAGTATTTATTGCAGTTTAATTGAAAATACTTCTACAAAGTAATTTGAAGCCCATGGTATTGATAAACCAACTGATATTACAGCCCTTCATTGTTTTAACTAGCATTATAAAATGACCTATTCATTATTTTTATGTACTTTTATAAATATTTTTTAAGAACGTTAAAGTTTCTTATTTTATATTTGCTATTCAGTTTGGCATCCCTCTTCCAGGCTTTCCAAAATTTTCCTTCCTTCGTACCATAGAATCTGTTGTAGTTTACTGCTGGTCAGTTATCTCATGCACAAGGAAGCCAGCCAGAGAAAGACGCCCCAATTCATCCATTCCTGAGGTTCACTGACTGATTAAATGGGGACTGAACTTGTCAGTGCAGGAGGGCACAATGCCACATTCCAAAAGCCAGCTATCAGGCATAGAGAACCAAAAAGAGGAAAAAAATTCAAGAGGGCTTAAGCTGGCAAATGCATTTCATGAAGCAAATTTCAAAGTTCTTAATTATGCTGTTTTTTTCTACTCTTGACCTGTGGGCAAATTCCCAAGTCATTGCTGGTTATGATGTAGCAGGGTTCGCTAGTGTAACTGATCATGTTTAAGTTACTCCCAAAAGCATTGGCTGGATTAGCTATAGCTGGTTAAATATGGAAAATAAGTTGCAAAACCTGGCTTTCGCTGTCTCTTTCCATGTCTGATGAAGTCCTTGTATTATAGTAGGTCTATCGTTACTAGTATGTGTTATGTTTATTTTCAGGGGTGAGGATCTTATTGTTTCCTGTGATCACTTAAAATGTTTTTCCCCCTCACTTCTATCTGCCTGTTGTGTGTGTAAATGGGTGTGTTACATTTCTCTTTCTGACTTTTATGATATAGTCATCTAACGTACTACACTGGTACCCTAGCCATCCACAAAATACGAGATATCCATATGTACAGCAAAATAAAGGGAACACTTGGCTGTCCTTGACATTATGTATGGACAGCAGTAGGAAAAGATAAATAGCAGAGCTAGTATGCAGTCTCTGTTGGACAGAAACACATTTTTGCAGATAGGAAGTGAGAATCAGGCTGAAAGTAGATGCAGTTGAAAGATGACGATAGTCCTGGGAATGAAGCTGTGAGCTGGTCAAAGGTGATTCACAACAGTGCAGTGTCACTTTGACCTCTAATGTTAACAGCCCCTACCCAAAACGTGATGTAAGATAGAACCAAAATACTGAAATGATAAATGGAAAAGAAATGGTGGAAATGTATAAATTTATATCCTCTCTTTAAAAAAAATTTTTTTGAGCCAGGGTCTTGCCATGTTGCCCAGGCAATCCTCGAACTCCCAGGTTCAGGTAATCCTCTTGCCTCAGCCTCTGGGCCACTGCACCTGGCCTTGTATCTTATTTTCTGCAAGAAGTATTTCTACATTCTTTTGTGTAATTCTCTCATTTAGTCATTGAAGCTACCACTTTACTGTATTGCACTGCTTCTTTAAAATATTTCACTATATTCCTGTATAAC